AACGCAATGGGAAACAATGTAGCGAACGTTTGGATATAGCGTCACGGTTGCTACAGAAACCGATCTAGTCTCTCAGGACTCAACTCGTGGTTATCAAAACAATGTCTGAAATTACAAACTAGCTTAGAGAACATCATACAGAAAGTAAAATTTGTTCATGTTAGATAACTGCGCGCGACAAACAGTTCATTTCTGATCATTGGACAGAGAACCCCAGGCTGGTGAAACTTTAACAAATTCGTCGAGGTACAAGACAACAATGTTCTAAATACGGCTTTTCAAAAACAATGCCCGCATAAACCACAACGTTGTTTAACATCTTTTTGTTCTAGACCAGTTACTAGTTGTAAGGTTAAAAGCAATCAACTGCCGAATCATCACAGCAGTCACGCAGCGTACATTTGAAAGTCATGTAAAGTGAAAAAAATTGTATTTTACGTCGCATGGAAGCTGCGCGCGGTAAGGTATGGCTGAACAATACCGCGACAAATCAATGTTTTCTAACCCCCCCCCCCCCCGTACTGCATGTGTAAAAAACAGTGTTCAAGTTGTTTGGTAGTCAGAACTTTGGGGTCCGAATCCAGATTGCTAAGATCATGCGGATTTAATTGTTATTAAGTTGGTACTGATCCGTAAGACGCCGAACACTGACCAATACTGACACAGCACACATTCACCCGCACCCATTTACACACATGCCACCACCCAGCATGTTCTTACGTAACCTGTTATTTTAGCGTATTGTTGAAGCAACTAATGGGATGTGAAACGTTTTTTTTCCCTTCTGGGTGCCAGTGGATTATATATGTCTCGTCTTGACTCATTAAAAATAATTTTCAAATAAACATACAACAGATAAACGTGTAATTCTTGTCTTGTTAATAACTACTGTAAAATACTTTATTTTAGCTGGAATTAATTTTTACCGAAAAAACCTTTCGGGTGCTTTGTATGGAATTTATTTTCACTAATCAAGTTGAATGTAAAATATAGAAAAAAGGGTATATTAGCTGGATTTTACAGTATTTATTTAATGTAACTGGTGGGAAAATATCTGTTTAACAACCACATAGGCTGGAGAAAATCATGGCAACCACCTGTTAAGTTATGTAGAACGGGTTGTGCACATGCGCCGCGAAAAGTATGTCTCTTGTACGTGTATTAATATACATGATATACCACGTGACACGATGACCAAAGGTCGAATGATGCTGACACACAATCAGATGAAACCAACACGGTGTGCTGGCTTCTTCGAAGAACGTAACCGCCTCTAAATCTACGCGATGACGGTGCCCGGTAAGTTGAATCTTCCATATTTTGTTTTCCTCGTATTTCAGCTTCATTACAACACATTGACAAGTAACGAATTAGCTAATTATAAGATCGCGTTGCCTCAGGTGATCGGGTACACGATATATGCTTAAACCTCGTTCAGGAAGTACTCCGATGTGGGGGTGAAAAGACTAGCTTAAACAGCAAAAAAATACAAAAAGCGGGTGGATGGACATAGTATAACAATACAACCATTCGGTGATCGTGTTTTGAGACACAATGTAAACAGAACAATGTAGTTTTAATTGGAATTTATAAACAGTTCTTGCATGTTTGTTCCATGTGCATATAATAAACGAGGAAGCTTGTGTTATGGCGTGACTATATAGGTACAATAGGGCGAGGTCAATATTCGGTGCTATGTTGCGTACTCTCCGGTAAATATTAAACTTGTCGTGAATGACACTGTATAGAGACAGAGGGAGAGAGAACGATGACGTCACCGCATCCATATGGCACCTCGCAATTCTACAAACTGGATTTGTAATCGGCGACGTCGACATTCTGAATAAATTCATGGTCATTGACCGACCCTGGGCCCGATAAGACGGCTCATAGGTGAGAATTTCGCCTTTACCCACCATCCTTTCGGTTTGTACCGACGTAGAACAACAGCGGCGCCGTCGTTAATAATTACATATGTATGTATGTATGTAAATAGCATGACGTATGTGTTTGTTTGACTTAATCAGAGACACATAGCGGGGTCATCGCACGTATATCTCGTATTTGACCACTGAAATCACCGACGCATTCAGCGCTCTGTGATAAAACTGATAACAAATAAATACGATTTGATATATATGGCGTATATTTTGGTGGCAACTCTAAATATATATGTTAACAATTATAGCCTGCTTAGACCATAAAAAAATTTAAACGTCACGTAATTTAATTGGTTGATTAATATCGGCACGGTTCACATACGGATGCAATGATACCGTCACTGTGGACTGTCGTTGATTTCATCATGTAAACATCAACATTTCATAACGTGTTTTGTGAACATTGCATGAGGGGATTTAAAAGGAAACATGATAAATAATTACGACGATAAATTAAGAGCCCCGGACGAGCCCGACGTCGACCTCGTTCGAGACACATTCCTTCAAATTCGTTGCATGACAACAGATCAGTTTTCCGTACCATCTCGTGTTCGAATTCATTGGTTATCTCGGTATTGGTACGTGTTAGGTGATGGCACGTCACCACTGCTCCTGTCCATGTTTCCATGACAACATGGTCACTCAAAGTCATAACAGGAGAGTGCTCAAGCCGGTTTGTTGATGGCGAGGATGTCGTCGATGTCTCTTTTTTTTTCAATCTCCTTCGCTTATAAACATAATTTCAAAACAAATCGCGGGAAATAGGACGAATCAACCACAAACTGAGTGTGTAGTTAGCATAACTTTTTGCAGAAATTATTGATTAGCCATGTAGGCTAGACATCTCTAAGATGTTACCGTTGGTGTTGATAAACAACCTCAAAAAGATCGTCTCTCTCGAACATTAAAATATCGTATAAATCATACAGTTTCATATAAGCAAGAAAGGCTAATAGATTTACGGCCACGGATGAAAAATTGGTCACGTGATTTAGTTTGAGACGGAGAGGATTTAATTTTTTGCACTGGTGGTGAAATCATTCCATGTGACATAAGATGTATGTATCCGTGTTGTTATTATATTGTAGATTGATTTTTTAAAACTATTTTGCTGACGTATTTGCTGGTCTGAGAACAGAAGCTCTTACTACTCTGTTTCATTTGTGTAGAAGACGCTGGTTTCATTTTATATTAAATATTTGCAAAATTATTTTACTAAATAACACAAATAAAAAAAACATATTTTGGGGAAACATTTTCAGCAGTAAGTTGGAGTTTTCCCACAAACTTAATAAGCCTACACCAATGAGTTTTGGATTGATATTATAACCACATATAAATAACACAATAAATTATTTTCTGAAATTAGTCTGGACACTGTTAACATAACCCAGCTAACCCACTTTATATCCATATTTATATCTGGATACACCAACATAGTACTTTAAAGGAATTTTTGCTGTATTTTTTCTAAAAATTATAATCCCACTTTAACATGCATGCTACTTATTATTGTATAAAACTATATACTTATTCTTTGAGCGATTAAGAGTAATAGCAAATAGTACAGTGTGCAGGTGACCTTTCTTTTGGAAATACGAAAAATAGTTACACTTGGTGTCACTTTCGTATTAGGTATCTGTCTGTTGTGTGATCTACCGCCAGTACATCCGCCGTTGTCACTCTCAGAATCGTCGAGAGTGTACCGCAAATCGACACAAACATAGATGACTCTATTAGATTTCTCACGTTAGTAGACGTCACAAACATATCTCCCATGTCTTCGTTATTATAGCTGCTGTTATCATTGTATGTCATTGTCATAGACAGCAGATAAGAAATAAAATTCGACTTATTACGTCATGTACGTGCATGTCACATGACTTCTGGGTCTTCGGGTTGCTGGCGGACAAAGGCTATATAAGACCAGGTTTAAAAAAAATACGGCCCGAATATAATCAATTAAACGACAGTTTCTAGATAGCTCATACTGTCATATATAATTTTATTATTAAATAATTCAAAGTGTGGTCGTTGTTGTTGTAAATGTAATCGCAATGCAGCTGATGGATTTGATTGATTAGTGTCACATGTTGTTTATAGATGATTTCTCACCATAACAGAGTAGCCTTGCTCTATATACCATAATCCAATAAAATACTAAATTCCATTTTAACTCCATTTGTCACTTTTTCAATAAAATAAAGCTGCATAAATGTTCAAATAATTTGATAAAATTTGTAGTCAATAAGAAATTATGTTTATCTGGTTTAAATTTAACAGAAATAAAAAAAATCTTGAACAAATTTTCAACGAGAAAAACTATGATATTGAAATGCCGAATTGCCTGACATTATAATAATGTATTCACAGTTGCACTATGGCGACATGTTGACAGATAAATATTCTCACCTTTGACTCCGAGATAAAATGACAATGATACAACCTGGTATATACCAGCAGGGGCGGATACAGGATTTGTTATGGGGGGTCCAAACTTTAAAATCCCCAGACTAAGTTAATGATTTTTTAATATACAAAAAGAAATTGAATATTTTTTTCAACGTGGGGGGGGGGGGACTCCAAGAACCCCCTAGATCCGCCACTGACCAGTCATATGACTCGTGTACCAAATGATATATCGTTTCAGAACAAACGACAAAATAATTACATACAATTAAATCTGCAGAATACTGTAGTTTGCCTTGTGCTTATTAAACGAATAAAATCGAGTTTTTTTTAAAAAAAAAAACCGACTTGCGGTATTTAGTTTAATAATCTTACTGTGTATACTAGATAATAACTTGTCTTAACTTTGTTCATTCCGTAGAGTCCATCAACGACAATGTCACCGCGGAAGAGCGACTGTTCAAGTTACTGGAAACCGACGACAGGAGAGGGGCATTAGAACTCACAAAAGTTGTTAACACGTTCGCAACACAAAATGGGTTCTCTTTACTGCATAAAGCGATAATACACGGAAAGATACGAGTAATGGGTGGACTTTTTCACAGAACGCTCGATTTCGTAAAATTGTGCTCCATGAAAGTTGACAATGAAACCAGTGAATATCACGGACTGACCGCTTTGCAGATAGCCAGGAAAATGAAAGCCGAGAACGCCGTTAGCATCATTAGAGAAGCTGATGCTGCTGAGAAGGAAGAGTCGGTGCTGCATAAAGCTGCAAAATGTGGGAACATGAAAGAAGTTCTAAGACTATGTGAAGAAACATTCAATGTAAACGTAGTAGGAATGTTAGGGGAGACTGCCCTACATGTCGCATGTGCAGCCGGCAACATAGAATGTGTTAAAGCTCTTATAGAACAGGGCGCGGACTGGAAAATTTCTACAAAGAGAGGCATCAGTCTCTTGTCAATGGCGTCTAGGTGGGGACATGTTCCAATTGTTAAATACCTGTTAGAAAACTTCCCCGAAATTGATGTAGACATGGTAGATGGTAACTCGGAAACAGCTTTGCATGGGGCGGCAGACTATGGATGTTTGAGTATATTCGACATGCTGTTGGAAAAAGGCGCCAACATCAGCGCCAAAAACATGAAAGGCGAGACACCGCTGCATTTTGCTGCACACAGAGGGAACTCGGACATTGTTAAACACATATTGGTGAAGGGCACTGAAGTTAATACTGCATCATTGGAGGGGAATACCCCACTTCACTACGCAGCTGATGGAGGGCGTCTAAACGTTGGGATGTATTTGCTTAGTGAGGGGGCTATTCCTGACTTAGGGAATGGCAAGGTGTATACTTCGGTACACTATGCAGCGCAAAATGGACATAAAGAATTCACAGAACTTCTCGTGCAAAATGGAGGGTCAGTCAAAGCCGCGGGAGCTGATGGAAACACCCCGTTACATTTAGCTGCATCAGCCGGTCACTTGCCTATAGTGAAATTCCTAGTCAGTCAAGGGGCCGACATGGATGCTAAAAATGAGAATGACTGTGTACCTTTACATTTCGCCTGCCAACACGGACGTCATGTTGTAGTCGAATTTATGGTGAACAAAGGGGCCAGTGTTAAAGCGTTGTCAGATAAGAAACATACATTATTGCATTTTGCTGCAGAGTATGGCCAGCCAAGTGTGATGAAAATCCTCCTAAGACGAGAGCCTTCGTTGTTGGAGGCCGTGGATGTTGACAATGCTACAGCACTTCACCATGCTTCAAATAAAGGACACTTCGCAGCTGCCGTTGAACTCTTGGAAGCTGGCGCTAAAGTTGATGTTCTCAACAAGTTCAAATCAACACCGCTACACTACGCTGCCTGGAAAGGCCACATGCACATATTGGAACAATTACTGATGCATGGCGCTTTTGTCAATGTGCCCAACATCCATGGTTCGATGCCGCTCCACATGGCAATAGTAAAAGGCAATAAAGATATTTGTGAGTTGTTATTGAGTCGAGGTGCTCAAATATCGGCCGTGGAGAAAAGCGGAGACGGGGTGCTTCACGTAGCAGCTGAAAAGGGACATTTACACATCATGAAACTTCTGCATCAAAAGGGAGCAACCATAGATGCCAGGAATCGATCAGATGAGACCCCACTACACTTTGCTTCCATGAAAGGAAACCTAGAGATGATTAAATATCTTGTTGAAAATGGTGCTGATGTAAACGCCTGCACAAAAGATAATGATACACCTATACTCTTTGCAACGGCTAACGGGTTGCGTGACACTGTCGAATTCCTCATCAAACATGGGGCTTCTTTGAATATTGTTGGGAATGAGGATGAAGAATTTCACACAAGACTTTCTCCATTGCACTCAGCATGTGCGTTTGGTCACCAGGCCTTGGTAGAATTATTACTTGAGCATGGAGCACCCCTCGAATATCCTGCCTGTAGACTGTCACCTTTGCACTGTGCTGCCATTAATGGTAATGTGGTTATCCTGAATTCGCTATTACAAAAGTCGAGCAATATAAATCAGATCGTTCTACAGAATGACTGGGAGCTCACTCCTTTACACTTTGCTGCAACTGAGGGACATACCGCTGCTGCTGAATTTCTTGTCAACAAAGGGGCAGCCTATGACGAACCTCTGACAGATAGGCCTCTGCATCGCGCTGCTGCGAACGGGCACTTGAGTGTAGTGGAGTTGCTGCTTTTGAAAGAATGTGAAGTGAACGCCAAAGATTTCCAGGGTTGGACACCGCTACACGCTGCGGCCTATGGTGGACATGAAAAAGTGGTGAAAATACTCCTAAAGAAAGGTGCTGATCCAAATCAACTCAACGAAATTCTAAGATCGCCATTGCATTACGCTGCAGAAAAGGGACACCTTGAGTCTGCAAAACTGCTTCTTGACTACGATTCTGATGTCAACTTGAAAGATCGAACATATGAAACTCCAATGAGGTTAGCTGGTAAAAATAAACACGCAGACATGGTGGTTCTACTCCAGGAACGCGGAGGAAAGGATTGCATTGTACAATAATAATATGGAAATCACATATATTACGAATTATTCACGTGGAACACATTAATTAACTCACGGTTGGGAAGTAGGAACATTATATTTTTTTTGAGAGCCATGCATATATTATTGTCTGAGCTATATAGGAAATATATTTACATAACCCCACATGTAAATTTATAAATTTCCATTTATTTCCTCTCACATTTACTTCAATAAGGCCTGTCATTGTACTTTTTTCCTGAATTTTACAGAATTTGAAAATCGCTTTAAAACTTTTACAGTAATTAGACCTAATTGATCTAACATTAATATAATTGGATTTTATATCTCAACTTGAACAGTTTGTTCCCTAATGACTGAACAATGGATAGATACGTTCCTCGACCCAATGCATTTACGCTTGTACATATAAAGTAACTTAAATGAAGAATAAGTCGGCAAGTTCAAAAATATTTTTATATTTTGTGGGACATTCCTTGTCTTCCTTTTAAAGAAATATGACATATCTTAGTATAGAGGAGGTTATATTAAGGTTTTTAAATAAATACTCATCCTTATGACTGTGGATGTAACAAGTTTAATTTATCCTTGGACAAGGGACCAACAGTAATTAATGACGTAAATATTTTTTCGCCACGCCATTTTCAGACAGCAATGGTAAATCGCGTCTGTGACTTATTTTTACTTATATGACCTAGTGTGAAAACCATATCGCATTTTCTATTTGTCACTTGAATTTAGGATATTCGGTATTTCTTACAGGTATGATCGACATTTGTTTTGATTTTTGTACTTCTTTGTCACAAATACGTATAGTTGGTATTCTATGTTACCGAGAACTCAACTGATTCAGTCTTTTCATAAAGTACATAGATAAGATGTCATGTTTAAGGAGATTCGAGTCGAATTGAAGATTATTTGTCATGACTATCATAATATTGAAAATTAAACAAATCATCGGACTATATTTCGAGAAACAATAACCTAAAATGCATTTAAAAAAAAATATATTTAATTCTATGTTCTATAATGCCGTGCAATAATGTGCAATAACATGCGCAGTAACATGCGCAGTAATGCAAAATATGAATTGACTCGAACTCCCTTAAAATAAGAAAGTCGCTGAGTGTACTTCCATATGTTATGCAATGTCACATTATGTCACTTCATGTGTGTAGCCCAATATTCGCACAGTAAATAAAGTGTGCTATGTGTCAATGCACTTGTGGCAAGTGAATTGGTATTATGTTGTTTACTTAAGCTAGAATACTACTCATAAATAAAAAATACTCAGAATTGATATATTTCACAAAAATGATATTGGAGTTGGTGATTACCAACCTATTTCTTGAGACAATGTTTAGTGAGTGGTAGTTAATTTGACAATATTTTTACACTTTTACCATATGTCTTCGTGGTGGAAAAATGCTATTTCATATTTTAGGTTGGTGACATAGAGTAAACAAATTGTGCATATTGTGATTGATTGGGTACCTTCTTTATTTAAAAAAATCAAAAAGTGACAAAAAATTCACTTTTTTTTAAAAATATTAACACAGAGGAATGCCGTTTCAAATTACCATGATTGTGCATAATAAGCCGATTAACATTGTCATGTGATTTATGACCAACGTTTGATATGTTATGAGTAGGCTAGCGAGATATCTTTGGGGGACTTTTCAATGTTTTTGTTTTTCTAATAAATTAGGAAAATGTCACTTTGGCATTAACTTTATGTAGTGTCATATTTATTTTGCTGAAAAGAATTTTTTTCTGGTGAAAATATGCTAATTCTTCTCTTCTTTAAACAAAAGCATAATTCTAAGTTACCCAGGGCGCACTCTATATGTACATCTTCATTAATATTCATGATCGACAAACATAATTGAACAAAGCCTAGATAATATCAAGAAGAATTACTTCTAATGTTTGTCATTTGTAAACACCTACAGATAAGATATACACACTGTTAGTTTTCTTGACAAGAGAAAGCTATCCAGCCAAACAATGTCACATAACTGAAGGCCAAGCACATTCTCTAAAAGTCAGTTGAGAACTTTGAAGTGATATTATTAAGTAATCATCTGATTTTAGTCCCATGATTCACCACGGCTATCGCATGCAGAAAAAAGACAAACAATTTTCATCTAAATGTGTAATTTCTATAATAAATACAGTCAAGAATAGAATAATTGTGTTGTAGCACTCCCTTCACTTTTTTAAAATGTAGATATTTAGCTGTTCGTTTAGTAGCCATACGGTGAATATATTATTTATAAAGTAATTGCAATGTTCTCTTTATCACTAATGTCGGAAATTACACATACAAAAATCTTCAGAACCCATGATATCTAAAAAAAAACTGTCATATTTAGGTCATATAAAATTCGTCAATTGTGTGCACACAATTTAATTTGCATAAAATTCGGAAATTTATAATTATTTGTAATATAAGTGTTTATCATGTTAAAATTACATTGTTCAAATGAATTTACTAAAGTTCATAGAAAAATCTTTAAAGTATCAGTGATGCTAATTGTCTAATTTGCATATTTCCATTGTGTAAAAAAGTAATTTTGAATCAGCAACATTCTTTTCATATTTTTGTTCTCATTGGATTATTCGAATATCAGCATAATAAAAATGAAAATCAACTATGTGATTTGTTTTATTATAAGGGCAAATCATGGTCACTAATCTAACAATAATTGATTTTAGTAATTTGCCCTCACTGCTACATAAAAGCTGGTACAAGACTTATGCAAATTGGCTGATTATAATATAGGTGTCCAATATTCCCATGTTAGTATTTCAGAGTAATAGCATTGTAACTATGGTAATACATATAGTTTATCTTTCTACATGACCCAGTCATACATCTGGGAACTTTTGGGAATTATTGTTGTTCAATAAATAGTTGTCAAATTTGTAGAGAAAATAATAGAGAAATTCTCGCTAATAGTGAATTGTCCTTAAGAAAATACCTGGATCTGTGAAATTTATGTGTTTTTTTTATATATAATATTTTTCTTTTATAATGGCGCAAAATTTCGTATATATCACGTGACGTGGTTTGATATGACGTATTTCACACGATTGCTATTATGACGTATTTCACACGATTGCTATTATGACGTGTCTCACACGATTGCTATTATGACGTATCTCACACGATTGCTATTATGACGTATCTCACACGATTGCTATTATGACGTGTCTCTCACGATTGCTATTATGACGTATTTCACACGATTAAAGTCTCACATTTCCTTACGAACTACCTTACCATGTTTCAACATTTTGTTTCCTATTTTAATTTTTAAATTAGAAGATGCGAACAATATCACGCAACCAATTTGAATTATTTACACTTACATTTCTCTTAAAGCAACTTGAATGTGAACAAAATAATTTATGGGCACCGTTTTTAGTTAGTTTCTTCATTTTAATGCGGGTTAACAACACACGCTAACAACGCAAATGCTCATGGGTAGACGCTTGTTTGTAAACAATGACACGCTATGGTCATCTAACGCATGCGCAGGTGACGACTCCCCCGATTTAAGGTAGAAGCTTTTTGCGAAAGTTGGTCATAAATCATAAATCACATGACAATGTTCATTGATTAATTATATAAAATCATGAAGCTATTGTCCCATGGCACCATGAAATATCATTATTTTGTGTGTTACAGTGATGTATTTTAAACTCGCTATTCTATTCCATAGAGCATAATGTTAACAAAAATTGCATTTTATGACACTTTGTAAAACGTTTTGAAATAATTGAGGACAACACAAATTATCCTATCCTTCACAATAGATAATTTGTTCAGCCTATGTCACAAGCCTAAAATTTGTGATATGGCATAATATCTCCGCCATAGGAGCCTATGACAAAGGCATTATAATACCGTCAAGATGGCCACTATCCACTAAAATACAAACATTAAGCTGGTGACCCCCAGCTTTTTTAAAGTCAATATCCTTATATTGCCCGAAGTAAAAATTATTGGAAAATGAATATATTTGTGTATTTGCAATGATGAATATGCTTCTACCTTAACACAACACTGAAAAAAATAATGAATCAAAATTATGGGAAGGTTATATTGACCTTATTAGAAACAACACAACTTTTTTAATTAACTATATCTGTATTCAGTATTAAGAGGGACGATCCAATTATAATTAACTGGTGTTGATGGATTCTGCGCAGTACCCATAAAAATTTACTAAATACTAAAACCGAATTTAATGAAAATGCACAACACAATGTATGTGAGGTTTGCGATCTAATACGTTATGAACTACTTACTACGGGTATATGTGAATATAAAACATCGCAGCAATATACAATCGACAAATAAAACACTGTTTGAGGGATAAAAACAAGTCTCGTGGTTCTCTCGTTCTCAACGATATCTTGCCGGCCATTTGTGTCAGAGGTCTACTGAAAATTCCGCATACTGAGGGACAAACACAAGTCTTGTGGTTCTCTCGCTTTCAACGAGATCTTGGTGGCCATTTTCGTCTGAGGTCTACGAAAAATTCCGAATGCATCCTGTGCACAATTAGCAAAGAAAACGTGTACCCTTTTCGATCTTAAATATATATTCTATGTGAAATAATAAAGACCATGAATTTTTGCCAGTGTTAGGTAACTGAAGTATTAAATTGGCATGCTATAAATAGATCCAGCGTGACAACTTACCGCTACAAACTGGCACACATAATGGTGTTTATAATAACCTGCCCTATCATGCTACCGTAAACAAACGTGTTGAGTGGGATGCCTCAACTAGAAATAATAAATATAGACTATCAACCATTTGAAATCATGTAGGGTGGCTGGATACGATGACTTATCTGTATGTCTTTATTTGTCTCGAAAGTTCGAAAAATGTTGTTCTGCAAAAGCTTGCATTAAATTTATGACATGCATATTCTGATTATATAGTTTCAGAAGAATTAATTAAGGGGATCGTTACAAACCATCATACCGTATATTTGTGTGCG